AATTTTCCTTCCTGATAGTTCATTCCTGGTGTGTAAAATACAACCAATTTTTGGATATTAATTTTGTATCCTACTACTTTGCTGAATTCATTTATCAGTTCTAGTAGTTTCTTTGTGGAATCTATGGGGTTTTCTATGTCCAGTATCATGTCATCTGCAAATAATAACAGTTTTATGACTTTCTTTCCAATTTAGGTGCCTTTAATTTCTTCTTCTTGTCTGATTGCTGTGGCTACAACTCCTAGTACTATGTTGAATAAGAGAGATGAAAGCAGACATTGTTTTCTTGTTCTCAATCTTAAGAGGACACTGCAGTTTTTGCACATTGGATATGATGCTGGCAGGGGATTTGCATATATGGTCTTTAATATGTTCATTATGTTCCCTTTATTCCCACTTTGCAATGAGTTTTTATCATAAATGGGTGCTGGATTTTATGAAATGCTTTTACTGCATTAGTTGATATAATCATGTGGTTTTTATTCTTCATTCTGTTTATGTTGGTGTATCACATATATTGTTATGAATATTGTACCAACCTTGCATCCCAGGAATAAACCCTACTTGATCATGCTGTGTGGTCTTTCTGATGTATTACTATATTCAGTTTGGTAATTTTTTTTCTGAGGATTTTAGCGTCTATGTTTGTCAGGGATAGTGGCCTATAATTTTCTTTCTTTGTAGTGTCTTTATCTGTTTTTGGAATTAAGGTAATGCTGGTGTCATAAAATGAGCTTGGGGGTCTTCCCTCCTTTTGATTTTTTTGGATTAGTTTGAGAAGGAGAGGTATTAGTTTTCAGAATGTTTGGTAAAATTCACTTGTGAAGCAATTTGGTCTAGGGCTTTTGTTTTTTGTTTTTGTTTTTTTGGAGTTTTTTGGTCACTGCTTAAGTTTTGCTAGTTGTAATCTATATATTCTATTCTCTGATTCTTCTTGGTTTAGTATTGGAAGACTGTATGTTTCTAGGCATTTATCTATTTAATTCAAGTTGTCCAATTTGTTGGCATAGTTGTTTGTAATATTTTCTTACCACCCTTTGTATTTCTCAAGTGTCAGTTGTTACTTCTTCTCTTTCATTTCTGATTTTATTTATTTGGGTCCTCTCTCTTTTTTTGGTTGATGAGTCTGGTTAAAGCTTTGTCTATCTTGTTTATCTTTACAAAGGACCAGGTTTTGGATTCATTGATCTTTTTTACTTTTTTAGCCTCAATTTCATTCATTCCTATTTTGATCTTTATTAGTTTTCACTTTGTGTGTTATTCTTTTTCAAGTTCCTTTAAGTGTAGGGTTAGATTCTTTATTTGAGCTTTTTCTTGTTTCTTGAGATTTGCCTGTAATGCTATTAATTTCCCTCTTAGGATTGGTATCCCTGTGTCCCACAGATTTGGGGTTTTTGTCCTCACATTTTCATTTGTTTCAAGGTATCTTTTGATTTCTTCCTTGATCCCATTGTTAACCCATTCATTTTTTAACACCATGTTATATAGCTCCATGGCTTTGTATGTTTTTCAGTTTTCTTTTTTATGGTCGATTTCTAGTTTCATAGCATATGGTCAGAGATGTGTGATATGATTTTAATCTTCTTAAGTTTATCGAAACTGTTTTTGTGTGCTAATATGTGATCTATCCTAGAAAACATTCCACATACACTTGAAAAGAATATACATACTGCTGCTTTGGGATGAAATGCTCTGAAGACATCAATTAAACCCATTTGATCTGATGTATCATTTAAGGCTGCTGTTGTCTCCTTGTTGATTTTATGTCTGGGAGGTCTACCCATTGAAGTCAATTAGGTGTTAAAAATCCCCTATCGAAACTGTATTTCTGTCAACTCTCCCTTTATGTCCATCAGAATTTGCTTTACATATTTAGGTGCTCTTATGTTGGGTACATAAATGTGTATTAGGGTTATATCTTCTTGTTGGATTGTTCCCTTTACCATTATGTAGTGTCCTTCTTTTTCTCTTCTTATAGCCTTGGTATTAAAGTCTATTTTGTTGGATATAAGTATTGCAACACCAGCTTTTTGTTCTTCCCATTGCATAAAATATTGCTAGGTAGTGTCATAGTAACTGGGCAAATAACTTAATTTCTCTAGCCTGAGGGATAATAATACCTACATGTGTGGTTGTTGTAAGGTTTAACCGACCATTACTGTCTATATGCTGCTTAATAGCAGTGTGGTCTGTGAGAACTGCTCTGTAAAAGGTAGCTCTGTGTTATTTTCACTTAGTGTGGACACCAGTGTTTTGGCTATTACTCAGTCCTTAGGCCAGTGATTAGCAATATTATCATTTAAAATGATACTTTTGATTTTCTCTAAATCAGTAGGTTAATATTTATACTAATACTACTCTTCTAATACTTTCAATAGATTTATACTCCAGCTGTGCATTCCATCTCCTTTGTCAGTCCCCCCACATTCACAGGATGGCTCATAAATGAAGAGGGAGGCAAACTTAAGTGGTCTACGTGGGAATCCCCACTAAATCCCCAATGCCCTGAAATGTGGCCTAACACATATTAAACACTCGATAAATGTTGGTAGTTGGATGACTTAATGTTGTTAATGTTTTTTCAAAGTCTATGGTTTACCTTTAGTTTTATTTATTATATGGTTTTTTAAAAGATTTTATTTATTTATCTTTAGAGGTGAAGGGAAGGAGAGAGAGAGAGAGAGAGAAATATCAGTGTATGGTTGCCTCTCGTGCATCCCGTGCTGGGAACTGGCCTGCAATCCAGGCATGTGCCCTGACTGAGAATCAAACCACATTTCTTTGGTTCACAGGCCCATGCTCAATCCACTGAGCTACACCAGCCAGGGCTTATTATATGTTTTGATGTATAAAATGTTCAATTTTAATTTAGACAAATCAATACAAATTTCCCTTGTCTTGTAACATTAATTTGCATCTCAGGGAGTTCTTTTCTCTCCAGAGTATGATAAATATTTGCCTATATTTTCACATGTATTTTTAATTATTTTTTTCACACTTAACTCTCAACTATCTAGAAGGTCAAGAGCAAAATGGAGAGTTGTAACATAATGCAGAAAGAAATCCTTTATTCTTCACAAATCTTTGGGACCCTATTTAATTATATTGAATTTTATGTAGTAGCATTTGAGCTCTCTCTTCTGTTTAATGTATTTGTTGTTTTCTTCTTGCTTCAATTACACACCTTAAAAATGATAGCATTCTTAGTCAGAAATGTCAAAGAAATTTCAGTCAGATTCATTAGTACAACAATTAGGACATGGCCTAAGCTGTTGTAACAGAGCCTCCAAAATGCCGAGACTCAAATAAAAATTTTACCTTTCTTCTAACAGAGAAGGGTATGTGAAGTTCAGATCTGGAGAGGCAGACCTCTCCAAAGAGTCTTTCAGGGACCCAGGCTCCTTCTGTCCTGCAGTTCTGCCAGCCCTATGGTGGCGTCCTGGTCTGTGCGGTTGGAGCTCTCCTGTTTGCATGTCTACATTCCAGTCTGGGAAAGGGAGTGAGGGTAGTCCTGGGGAAGAGCCTTTGTCTTTGATCTGATGAACCAGAAGGGCACATGCTACTTTTTCACATTCCTGTCATCAAGACTAAACAATGTTGCCACACCTACTTTCAGGAAAGGCTAGGTAGGGACAATTGCATCAAACTGGGTGTGTGTGGATTTGGCTAAAATTTGAGAGGAACTATTATGAAAAAGGAGGATGGGCACCAACGACAATTAATGGTCTTTGTTCCATTCCAGGACTCTTAGTTACAAATAAACATATGTAACAGGAAAGTATTAATCACTTTTTTCCTGTGAAATGTCAACCTTTTATGATGTCAATAAAATACAAATGTGTCCTGATTTTTGGTTTTAGATGGTCTACAGTAACCCATGTGCCAGGTAGCATTGTATGCCCTCTTGAATGCCAACAGGAAGTCACTGGACAGCAAACTCTTCCAAGATCATAACTGGGCTGTTGGAGTAACTTGGAAAAGAAGAAAAAAGAATTGAAAGCATGACAAAAGTTACTAGAACTCGGTCCACCTCCCCTCCAGATGGAGGGTGGGGCTGGATGATTGTGGCTGGTTGTTTCCTGGTCACCATCTGTACCCGAGCAGTAACCAGGTAGGTGGGGTTTTCTTCTTGATTTATTAAGAAGATCTGGCTTTGCCCTGGCTGATGGGCTTTGTTGATTGGGTGTCAGCCTGTGAACCGAAAGGTTGCTGGTTCGATTCCTAGTCAATGCACATGCCTGGGTTGTGTGTAGGCTGGGTCCTTGGGTGGAGGTGTGCAAGGGGCAACCAGTCAATGTTTCTCTCACACATCAATGTTTCTCTCCTTCTCGTTCTGCCTCCCTTCCCTCTCTCTTGCCCTCCCTGGCCTCTATAAACAAACAAACAAATAAATAAATAAAATCTTTATAAAAGATGATCTGGCTTATCTTTTTTTTCTAAGTCTGCTTCATTTTATTTCTGAACCTGTCATTATGAAAATAGGTATGTATTTGTATGGTGTGTATGTGTGTATTTTCTTTGACAACTCAGATATCTTTTTCTTTCTAAGGAATGTAATTTTCTGACACTTAAAAGTCTTGGGTTGTGGTCTCTTCTATAATAGCTGGTGTATAAACCTGAAGTGATAAGACATTCTTAGACCAAATATTGTGGCCATTCCAACCATTTGTTTTCATAAGCAGCTCATCCCAGAAAGGAAAAACATATAAGGTTAAAATAGTCCTTGAAGACCTCTTGACTCACTGGATACAGAGCCCTTGGAAGCTTAAAAATTCGAATTTAAGTTCTTTTGCTTCACTTTGCATTGGGCTGCGTTGAAGGAGGCTGAGTTCTGAGTTGGAGGAGAGAGCAGCAGCCTGCAGACAGGGCTTCTCCTCATTTGCTTATGTCTCTTTCTTTTTGATATGTGTACATGTTGAGAAAGTTTCTTTTTTAAAATTTAAATTTAAATTACAGTTTACATTAATATTATTTTGTATAGTTACAGGTATGTGGCATAAAAAAATATGGAACGCTTCACAAATTTGTGTATCATCCTCACACAGGGGCCATGCTAATCTTCTCTGTATTGTCCCAGTGCTGGTACATGTGCCACCAAAGTGAGCACATCCCTCTCTTTCTTTTATCCAGCGGCGTTCTGTTGAAAGTGCTTAAGTTAAAAGACTATACATTGAGACTCTTTGGAACAAATACATACCTGCAATCTGCATGAGCCAGCTCCTTCCTCTGTAGGTGCTCCTGTTCAAACCGAACTCTGTTCTTCTCTGGCTGCTCACACTTGGAGGCAAAAGAAAGCAATTTGCACTAAAAGCGTTATCCGATGGTATCATCAGTAAAAGCACTGACCTTACCTCCATAAGAAATACATAATGCAGGAAAGAAGCAGGAGGTTTGTTTTTGCTACAATAAAGTTTGCTTAATTATGTGTCATAATAAGCTGGAGATTGGTTTAGAATTATATGATTGGTTTTGAGTTTGATTTTGCTCCCGTATTATGGAGCTTGTGTTCTGAGTATGAGGAGGTCATGGAGTTTAAAGGAGTCTCTTTTATCTTGGTTTTTACCTGTGAAGTTTCCATCAGTCCATGATGGGAAAGTCCTGGAAATGAGCTCAGTGCTTCATAAGGAAGGGCAGCTGGAAAGCAGAAAAGAGGATTGTGGGAGCCTGTTATCAGAGGTTGCTGGGAGAGGCTGGGAGGGAGAGGCCTGAGCAGAATGAGCTTAGAGGAAGAAAAGTGTGGAGACACAGCCTGCATGAGAATTTAAATGTCATAAACCCAGAGGCAGCCAAGAACACCAGAGACAGACAAGGAAAGCAGCCTGCAGGGTGATTTGTCAGTTCAGAAAATCAGCGCCTTTGGGCATTTCTTCGTCCTCACTCCCCCAGTTTCATTGAGAAATAATGGACACACATCCCTGTATAAGTTTAAGGCATACAGCATGACGGTTTGATGTGTGTACATTGTGAACTGATTAAAATAGGTTTAGCTAACACCCATTTCTCATATAGATACAATGAAGAAAAGAAGTAAGGAAAAAGGAAAAACAGATTTTCTTCTTGTGATAAGAACTCTTCGGTTTACTCTCTTAATTTCCCTATGTATCATGCAGCAGTGTCATCTATAGTCATGTTGTATGTCACATTTCTAGCACTTATTCATCATTACACTGGAAGCTGTACCTTTTAACCACCAGAACCACTTACCTCTCCCCCTCCCTCTACCTCTGGTAACCACAAGGCTAATTTCTTTTTCTTTTAGTTTGGTTTTTCTTTGTTTTTAAGATTCCACCTATAAGTGAGGTCATGTAGTATTTGTCTTTCTATTTCTGATATATTTCACTTAGTATAATACCTTCATGTTGTCACAAATGATAGAATTTCTCATTTTAATGGCTGAATAATATTCTATTATATATGCACCACACTTCTCTTTCCATTCATCTCTGGATAGACACTTGGGTTAGTTCCATGTGTTGGCTATTGTAAATAATGCTGCGATGAACATGGGCTGCAGATAGCTCTTCAAGTTAGTGTTTTCATTGTATTATTGTGATAAATCCTATTGACTGATTCACATCTATTCAGCAATTCTTGTATCCCAGGGATAAGTCCCACTTGATCATGGTGAAGGATCCCTTTAATATGTTGTTGAATTCACATCTAGCAGCAACTGGAGAGGAGGAGGAGAGTGAAATAACTAGTTACTATGGGCTACCGAAGCATAATGAGTTGGAATGTAGCTCTATCCAAAGAGCCTGATAACCTCCTATCTCATCCCCAAGTAACAAGGCCTTATTTCTTCTCCTGAGCTCCAAAAGCTTCCTGTGCTGAATCAGGACAGCATGCTAATCTGCATTAGGTTCATTCCGAGTTGTATGGTGACAAACTATTGCTTCTGGATTACTTATGCCTTTCCTTTCCTAAATGATTCACTATTTTTCAACATAAAAATGTCTCTGTCTCTTTGTTTCTATCTCTGTCCTTGTATGTGCCCCTCCATATGTATGAATATATACATGGTCTGTCTAGAAGGTATCCAGCCATATGATATGAAAAATAGAGACTTTTATCGAAGATGATACAAGACACAAGATATATTTTCATAGGACAATGATGCCTCTGCCCCCTTCAAAGTAGGCACCTTGGGGCCTCACACAGTTTTCCCAATTGCTATCAGCTGCCCCATCGTATTTTCCTGAATTTCATTGACAGTCTGAAACCTCTTCCCTTTCAAAGGTGATTTCAGTGTTGGGAAAAGCCAGATGTCTCAGAGTACCAAATCTGGGCATTGGGGGGGCTGAATCACCTGGGCTATTTGATATTTCACAAAAAAACTCTGCATGAGACGTGACACATGAGCAGGCATGCTGTCATGATGAAGCTGCCAATCACTACTAGTGCCCATAGCTATTGCCCATAGCTGTGGCCTTCTGAATAGTTTCCATAGAAGAATGTTAAGCATAATGCAAAATGTGACACAGATTTGTTGTTCTACTAGCTCAGTCATTTTGAATGCAATGGCCACACAATACACATCTTCACAGCCACTTGGCTTCAACAGCCACTCTGGTGCATGAACACTTGTTCTTATTCTTTAGAATTGCCCAGTGGCCAGGTTCTTATTTCCCACTTGCTATGGGCCAGCAAAATTCCACTGAAAACCAATTGAAACCCATGGAGCCTGGAACAGTTGATTGAACCAAAACTTTAAGCTTTGATTCACATTCATGTTTTTTCTTTCCTTTTTTGTATAACATGCTCTCATTATATATTTTCAGATGTATTTCAGTTTTTTTTGTGGAGTTCCAGACATACTTCACTCAGGACTATGCACAAACAGCCTGGATCCATTCCATTGTAGACTGTGTGACCATGCTCTGTGGTACGTATCGCTTAACCAGGGATAGATGATTACTGGCTACTCTCAAACTGTACATGACAATGACCTTCTACTGCTTTTCATTACCTTTTTTTTTTTTTTTTAGTAGAAAGACTATGGTAAAATTGGCTAAGAGTAAAAGAAAAGGTTGATTCTACCTTCAGCCAAACCCAATCAGACATGCTCCTGAAATTAATGATTTTGGCTGATTTCAGATGGAACAGGTGGTGAATAACTCAGAAAGACACATGCCATTTGATTCTTCCATGTAAAATAGGATGCTGGGCATCGTAGGGCTTGTCTTGGTTTGGAAGCAGCTAACCATACAGTATATACTGGGCTCCCTTCTTCTAAATGCTGTGATCCCCTCCTTCTCCAGTCATGTAAACAGTTCTTGGACAGCACTGAGCTATTTCTATATGATCTACTGAAATTAGCACAAACACTATTGCATCGCATCTCACGTCTCGTTTTCATTCTGCTCTCTTTCTAGAGGTCCTGAACTTTGTCTCATAGCTTTCATCATTTTTCATGCATAAGTCTTTATTCTTAGAAAAAGGTTACAGAATAGGATGATGCAATCCTGAGATACATACATTCACCACGGCTGTAATTTCACTTAAGAAACCCCAGAGGAGCCATGTTAGGGTAAATAGTGTCCGCAGAGACACTCTATGAAATGGAATCTGCCATTCCGTATATGTAGCAGAGGAAAATGAACCTTGAAGGGGTTTTTTTTTGTTTTTTTTTTTTACAATTTACAGTGTTCAAACCAGAGTTATTAAATTAGTGGCTTAGACAGTTTCTGAGATGGAGTCAAATTGATATAATCTATTTGCAGGCTACACTCATTTAATCCTTTCATTGAGATGAGTATTTTAGAAAACTGCTCTCTCTTCAGGCCATGGCTTTGTGGTAAAGGGTAGGTAATACTCTATTATTCAACAGTTAGTAACTTATAGATAATGTCATCTGATTTGCATTCTAGGTACCAATTCACATTTATTTTTAGAAAAAAATGTACATTGAGTTACACTGAGATTAATTTCTCGGTTAGGAGCAATTCTAGGGCTCAAAGCAGGTTTCATGAGAAGGCCGAAATGACTGTGTCTGCTGATAACACTGGAAGGTCTTAGGGGATCAAAAAATAATATCTTTGGAGTTTCCAGCACATATGAAACCAGTAAGGCAATCACTGGGTGTTCAGGGTAACAGGATTAGTCACAACCTTTGTACGATCAAGTCAAGAGAGCCGTGTTTGCCTTTCTCTAAGGACATAGTTGACTCATTTCTCCCACTGCTATCTTTTGGAGAATATTTACAATTTCCAAGAGAGGAATAAATGACCTTCAGTGACTAATATGGTCACAATGACCGTGTGAGACACTGGGCCAAAGCAGGATCATATTAGCATAACCTTAAATATGCAGCATATTTCAGTTCCATGCAGGGACTTGAAGCCTGTTGTACCCAATTACCATACACTCACTTGCTTACCTGGCAATACCAGTTTAGTACAGAGTGTGAACAAGAGGCTGCGGAATCACATCTATGACACTTGTTGGGAACATATCTGTCCTATGATGAACAGAGAAGTGAACATTTTTCATTGAATTTGGTGAAAATTTTGTCACTTTTCAAATAACCATAGCAGTAACAGCCTGGAAAATTAGACCTTTTCAGGAGATTTGCTCATTCTTATCCCCAGAGGTTATATGTACAGCCAGCCACCATTTTAACTAGGCAGCAGACATCAGGCTGATGACAGATTCTACCATGTACATTTGAATCCAGCCCAAGTGTCAACCTGATCAACACAGAAATTATGTTCCATGAAAACCCAGAGAACTGGCTCTTCTAATCTCCTTACTAGAATTACTGGTGTCAGCATGAATTGTTCCTTAGAAAAAAATTCACATCTTTCCATACCCTCCCTTCCTGCCATTAGTTTGATGAAACAGGTAGAAATAACCCTGAACTTGGTATCAGGTGCCCTGAGCTATACTTCTTAGTGATCTTGGGCATGTCATATTCCCTTGGATTTCAGTTTCTCGTTGGCCTCCTCCAGCTTTAATTAATATTCTAACAAACCTGAAAATTGGCACAAGTCTGATGCACTGTTAAACCACAAAGAGAACGAGGCTGACCAAAATGTCATGATGGGTGTGAGCATTTTCTTAGATTTTTCTGGGTTTCGATTTCTCATCTATAGGGTTTCCTAAAGCCTG